TTGCGCAACTTTACCGATTGTTTTCGCCGCGTAGTAGTAGTGTAATGAATGAGAACACAGGTTGGGCAAGCGAATTGTATTCAACGAAAATTACAGAGTTACTCAGTAAAATTGGAAAACCATATCGTAAATCGTTCATTTGCAAAATATCAATTCATCCTATCGAACTGGACTGTTCCTGTTGCAAAACATCAATCCATTGTCACTATTCATGCGTTTCATACACAAATTCCAATGTGTTCTTCTAACTCTTCCTTTCTTGATCTTCCCCCATATTATGCTGCCAGACATTATGTTGACGCTCACGTCATATACTACTTATAAGTAGCTCACACCACAGTAGTAGTAGTAGTAGTAGTGCATATCCACAAACTCACAGCCTGAGATCGAACCCAGGATTTTCGGTCTCCTACACAAGTGTTTGATCCGTTGACCACTGAGCCAACATCCGACTGTATTAATGTATAAATCGAATTAGTCTATGATATTGTATGACCATCATCCAGCGTGTTCTGTGGATAACAGTCTCTGAAGCTTGAACAAAATAGCCATCCATTGCCTTTAAGGTTTCTAATGATGGGTCTGGTATTGTTGATCAGTTCATGATTTTAATGAATTTTATTTGTTAAAAAATTTCTTTCTCTTACCAATTAGAATCATGTGTTAAGTCACTGTGACAAGTGGACTGAGTCATGTTGATAGATGTAGGCTACCTGGTTGGGGTCCGCGGGGGACAATAGTAACTGATTGTTAGAGACCTTGAACGACATGGCTCAAAATCGTTTGCAATGGCTCAGGTGCATCTACTCTTTGTGTTCTCTCAAATCCTAATCTTCTTGATTCGTCAACACCTCTCCCTTTGTCTTTTTCTAACCTTATCTCACTGAATTATATTTCTTGAATAATATCTTCAAATCCTAATCTTCTCCATTACTGTTTTATACTTCTATTATCGCTACCACTATTGGATTTGAAGTGACAGTTGCGTCTCTGTGCTAATGTGGTATGTCAACATGAACTGTTGAACATACGTACGAAGTTCTACGTTGTAATTGACCTAATTGACTGACATGTGTTAAGCGAAATTCGATAAGTTTTTCTTTCAAACAACTTATTAGTATCTTAAATAGTTTTAAAAAGATTGTTTCAATCGTTTTGAAACTACAGAGGGTCAATGAAAACATGGATGAGTCAGTCAGTGTTAGACTACCATTAAAGACGTGAAGGAACACTGGACGACTGTTTCGTCTTGATGTGTATGAGAGTCTCACCAACCATCTCCGCACAACCTTATAATCTGAATAGAGTATATGATCATGCCTATTTATTCAAGTTTAATGAAATAACTTCAAATGGTATTCGTTATTAACTGTTTTAACTATTCTTTGCAAAGGATATACTTTCTTCATTCCACTTTTTACACAGTGATCTCCTACCAAAGAGATTAACTTATTGACTTGAAATATCCATAGAGAATATAATTCTGTTTTGGTGAAGTTATGATTATATTCAGAGTCTTTGGGTTGCAATCACTTATCTCAAATGTGTCTCATCGACACTGGTTATATACGATGTCCGCACAGTCTAAACTGCGAGAGTTTGAGTCCCTTGTATAGTCTTAAATACTCACAGCTAATGTAAGGAGTCTCATGTCAACAATGAATAGCTGTCTGATACTTTTTAGGACTTTTTCACATAGTTAGCCAGTGATAATATTAATTTTTAAAATTGTACAAGAAACTATTTTTCATGTATATTGATTGTGTTTTATACTCTCTACTCTACTCTACTCTACTCATATTTCACTTCGCAGACATGTCAATGACTCCAATAAACCATCAATGAATTTCACCAAAGAATCTTTTAATAAAGAAGAAGATGGTCGTGAATCTGGAATCGATCCAGACACTTTGGATGAAACATCTACATCAATGATAGGCAATTCATTAAGTTTAAATGATATGAAATATGCTGCGACAAATGGATTTAATTCTACTACTTCGGCAAATACTACTGAAATAACTAAACCAAATGTAATCACTATACTAAGACGTTTAGCAAGATATTTAGCATTACGTATAGCCAATAAACGTCATAGTTTGGCTACAGCTAATCAACATGTTGCAAGAAATGCAATTGAAGAAAAACTTGTACGTGATAATTTGTATATATAGTGTTTGTTTTTAAAAAAATAATTTTTTCAAGAATAAACGACAACTCGACATGATTGTGTCTTTCCCGCTTACTATACGATTTGTGTTTTATTCATGATATTTACATTCAAACATAGTGTTGTACTTGATGATTGCTCTTTTCAACAGATCGTTTAGAAAACTAGGTTGTACGTAATTCAATTCCAAGTTGGTCAGTGAGAGTAGAAGATTTACGTAGGTTATTGGTTTTTGATCATAGGTGTCTTCGAAGCATTGCTCGTGTATATATCGTGGGACACCCGGGTGAGCAATGCTGTTATTAGGAAACGGGTGCTAGGTAAGAAAATGGTAGATCAATAGACGCAGTAGTGACACTTCATCAGTTGAGGTGGTTGGGATATGTGTTACGTATGCCTAACCACCGACTGCCTCGACGAGCTATGTTTTGTAGTGTAGGAGGAGTAGGTTGGAAGAAAGCTAGGGGCAGCCAAACCAAAACATGGCAGAAATCCATGAAGTCATTGACGGATGGACTTAGCCATGTCGGTAATTGTCGACTACATTGTTGGGGTCCACGAGATGATAATAATTGATGGTTAAATACCCTGAATGACATGGCTGCGAATCGTTCGCAATGGCGCTGGTGCATTTATTCTTTGTGTTCTCTCGAATCCTAATCTTCTGAATTCTTCAACTTCTCTAGTTTTGACTTCCTAAACTTTTCTCACTGAATCATACTTCTTGAATAATATCTTCTAATCTTAACCTCTCCGATTACTTCTAATACCTTTACTACCTCTTCTACTATTGGATTTGAATTGACAATTTCTTTTCTGTGCTGATAAGGTATGGCAACATGAACTGATGTACTTACATACGAAGTTCTACGTTGCAACTGACTGACTGACTAGTTTAGAATGTTAAAGCATATATATATGTATGAAATTTGGAGGATGTATAACACAAAAACAGCTTGACTAAATACAATTCTAAAATTCCGCTCATATTGCACGTAAAATCAAATTCGGTAATCTTTTTTTGTAAAGAGTTGTATTATTGTAAAGACTTTTCAATATTGTATGTACACTCACAAATAGATGTTAATACACTCAACAGCTTA